AAATCTGGAGGTTTGGGGTTCCAGGCCAGCCCAGGTTAAAAAGTTTGCCAGGCTGCATCTCAATGGAAAAAAGTTAGGTGTGGTGGCATGTGCCTTTCATCCCAGGTACTGTGGGAAGTCCAAAATAGTAAGAGCACCATGCAGGTCAGCCTGGGCAAAAAGTGAGACCCTATCTCAACATTAACCAGAACAAAACTATCTGGAGGTGTGGCTCAAGCTGTAGAGTGCCTGCCTGGCAAAGAGTGAAGCCCTGAGTTCAAACCCCAGTACCATCAAAAAAAAAAAAAACCCAAAAAACAAAAACCTTTTTTCGCTCTAAAGCTAATGAACACTATGGACTTAGGCTTGTAGTATAGGTAGGAGATGGGAAAGATCACTTTTTAAGGCCCTTCCATTTGTGGGATTTAGAATCCATGTTTCATGGTCGCTTACATGCATGATCAACTCTCACTGCAGAAAATAACTATCTCTCAGCGGGATGCTGCTCAGCTAGAATAATAACTATCCAAGGAAGGATAGTGGACCCTTGATTTTTTTCTATAGCAGGCTCTTTGTTGTTTTAGAGTAATTGTAGGTTGCCCATTGAACTATTTCATATGAAGAAGCTTGTGAAGGAATGACAGAAGCGTATTTTCACTAGAATTGAAATTGACAGAATAATTCAGTATTTTAAAAGCTTTATTGGAATCATTGATTTGTAATCTTGTCAAATGCTGTTGAAACTGTGAGTGGTCTTAGTTGGTGAATGTGTTTTCTAAAAAGTTCAGCTGTAAATTGGTCTTTTGGAGCATTTTCCATAGTAAAAATACTAAGTTATTATGTATGATGCAGGCCAGCTACCTATTTAGCCCATAACATTGCAAAAATACTGTTATTTTTGGTTACAATTAAGAGCTGATAATATTGCAAAATTAGTTTTACAGAAGAGACGTTTATTACACACAAGTTTGAGAAAACGTCAGCAGTATTTACAGCAGGTAAAAATTAAGTATTTGAGCAGGTTTACTGTATATAGCTAGAGATGTCAGTAGGAACTCTGAAAGTGACCCTGGACACTTATCCTGATTCTTTGACCACTGCCAGCCTTTATATTTGAAGTCCTCTGCATGCGTGTTAAAAGAGTAAACCAAAAATGATTTCATTGATCCTACTCTGTTAGTATTTCATCTCCTTTTCATTGAGAAAACAGACTTGTCACAGCTCACTCTTTCAGCCCCTGCTGGTTATTTTTGAAGCATTTAAAACTTCTGGTGCACATACACACACAGGGTTTGAACTCAGGGTCTCAACTTGTTAGCCAGCGCTCTACCATTTATTTGAGCCACTCCCTCCACCTTCCTTTACTTTTAGATTTTTTTCAAATAGGATCTCCCAGTTTTACCCTGGACTGGCCTTAGACTATAATCCTCCTACCTGTGGCCTCCCATGGAGCTGGGACCATATGCTCCCACCACCACACCTGATTTGTTGTTGGGATGGGGGGTGGTCCTCTCTATCTTTTTGTCCTGACTGGCCTTGAACTGCAGATCCTCCCTGTCTCTACCTCCCCAGTAGCTGAGATGACAGGCGCAAACCACCATGTCTGGCTTGTTGGTTGAGATAGTATCTAACGTTTTGCCTTTGCTGTCCTCAAACTGTGATCTTGATTTCTCCCTCCTGAGTAGCTGGATTACAGTTGTAAATACCATACTTAGCTTAAACTATTTGACCATTCTTTTTTTGAAACTCCTTATTTTTTAAGACATTTTTTATTAGGATGTTCACTATTGGGGGGGATTCATAGTGACAATTCTGATTAGACTTATATTGTACATGATTTACATTGCTCCATCATCTCTCCCCCTTAACCCCCTTCCCACTCCACTTAAAGCAATTGTAAGAGGTTTCTTAGTTCTGTTTCATAAAGGTATGTAAAGTCCATCTACCATATACTGTCATCTTAATCTCTTCTTCCTTCATCCTCCCCCCTTCTACGAGTATCCTCCCCCCCACTGTACCTATTTTATAGTCCAGTCCTGATTTTCGTTATTAATATTTAAGTTGATGTTCAGAGGGCTATCTCAGTGCATGGCCATTGTGGGAATAACTTTACTCTGGTCTGTTCAACCCTTTCCTTTACTCTCCCTTACCCCTTTACCTCACAACCATCATGTTTCAAAAGTTTTCAGTACACATCCTTATATTCTCTCCCTTCACATCTTAACATTATGTGATATTACTGGTGCTCTACCATTCTCTATTCCTTTCCCTCTTTCCCTGAGATCGATAGAGTAGTTGCACTGTTACAAACATGTTTGACATCTGAGTTTGTGGATGATCATGCTTGTTTTTGTCTATATGTTTATCTTTGGATGTATCTTCCACATATAAGGGAAAACGTGGCTTTTGTGTTTCTGATCCTGGCTTATTTCGCTTTACATAATGTCCTCCAGTTGCATCCATTTACCTTCAAAACATATGTCATTATTCCTTATGGCTGAGTAATACTCCCTTGTATATCTATACCACAGTTTCTTAATTCACTCATCAATTGTAGGGCAACTGGGTTGTTTCCAAAGCTTGGCCATTTTGAATAGTGCTGTGATGAACATTGGTGTACAGGTGTCTCTACTGTATCCTGTTTTACGTTGTTTTGGGTAGATGCCCAGGAGCAGTATCACTGGATCACATAGGAGTTCTATCTCTAGTTTTTTAAGAAATCTCCATACTGTTTTCCATAGTGGTTGTATTAATTTGCATTCCCACCAACAGTGTATAAGGGTTCCTGTTTTGCCACATCCTCACCAGTATTCATTCTTGTTACTACCCTTGATTCTGGCCATTCTAACTGGGGTGAGATGAAATCTAAGTGTTGTTTTGATTTACATCTCTTTTATAACCAAGGAAATTGAACACTTCTTCATGTATTTACTGGCCATTTGTACCTCTTTGAGAATTCACTGTTTAATTCATGTGCCCATTTCTTCATTGGGGTGTTGATTCTTTGGGGCCTGTGAAACTCCTTATTTTTGTAATGCTAGTTCTCTAGTCCACTTTGCCATAGTAATATACGGTCTCAGTTTCTCATTTTGTTTTTTCTTCTATGGCATTAGCTTTATAGAGTCAGAGACTATGTTGTCTTGGCTCACTGTTCTGTATGTCTATAGGTGACTAATAAAATATTTATTGTGTAAGTGATTTTCTTCCTAAGTGGAAAAGTAGATTACCAAGTAGTATGTTAAGAATTTGCATCCTACTTCCTCTTGCTTTAGTATTTTGGTCCCACTTACCTCTTAAACTGATATAATAGGTTTTCTGTGTTTTCCCTATCTTTAGCTTCTGGTCCTCTATTCTCCCCTTTATGCTATGACTAAAACAATCTGCTTAAATCAGTTGTAGGATCAGATGATAATTTCCTCTTGTCCTGTGAACTACAATTTAGGAACTGGTCGTTTGTTCTGTAAAATCAGGAAATAACTTCCTTACCATGTACCGCCTATAATCCTAGCTACTCAGGAGGCAGAGATCAGGAGGATTGTGGTTCAAAGATAGCCAGGGCAAATAGTTCACAAGACCCTTTCTTGAAAAACACCCAAACCGCTCCCTCCCCCCACCAAAAGAAAAAACAGGGCTGAAGGAATGGTTCAAGTGGGAGTATGCCTGCGGGCAAGCATGAAGCCCTGAGTTCAAACCCCAGTACCTCCAAAGAAAGAAAAGAATTAATTTCCATGTTTAGAACCACCAGAAATAGGACTAAGCCATAATTAGCTGTTGGTTTCCCCTTCACTGGTAGAACACTAAGCACTTCTCCAATTCGACAGGTTATTGAAGCCTTTAAAGCAGCCTGCTAGGATTTTGATTGCATCTTGCAGACTAAGTTTAGGTCTTTGAAAATTCTGGCACGGATAAATTTTTAATCACTAAGAAGTACAGTAGAATCTGTACTAGTAGTAGAATCTAGTAGGTTCTAAATACATTTGTTCAATTAATGAATAACTTGTGGCCAGTTTCTGTAAGTGGAAGCAGAAAAGGTATTCTTTATTGTCACTTCAAACTTGGTTTTGTGATGTGGGAGTCTCAGATCTTGATTCAGCAAGTCTTGGGCCTCTATGTGTGTGATCTTGGGAAAGTTATTTTTCTCTCAAAAAGCACATTTTCCCAGCCTCTTGAGATAAAATTTCTTATTTTGCTGAATTCCTTTTTCTTTCTTTATATCTTCTCATTTTTCTTTTTTCTTTCTTTCCTTTTTTTTTTTTTTTAAGATAGATTTGCACTATATAGCTCAGGCTGGCCTTAAACTTGTGGTCCTTCTGCCTCAGTCTCCAGGATAGGGGCTGTATTGTTACTTTTTTTTTTTCTTTTAATTTCCAAGCTACCAGCACCTCTGACATGTTTTTGTTTTTCTCAGTTTTGTGTCAGATTCCCGAAGTTCTAAATACCAAAAAAAAAAAAAAAAAAACCCACTGTAAAATTAAGTAATATGTATCTTCCCAAGTAGATCACATTGAATACAATTTTCCCAGTTTTAAGATTTGTCTTAAATCTTTGGTATTTACAAGGGATAAAGTCAGTGAATAAGTAGCAAAAAAAATTAATGAAAATATTAAGCAGCTTAGTTTTTTTTGATTTTTTAATTCTTTAAATTCACTCTACACATGCTTATTCATTAGCTATTTGGTGATTATAATTTTATACATAAATACTATCATTTTGCATCTGGTTGATACTTTTTGTAATTGTATATGATGCAATTAGACATGTCATTTTTCCATGGTGATTCGTGGAAAGCTCACTGCATTAATAAAGTGGGTTCTTGAATCACGGCTTTGTGAAATAGTACCTAACTAGCAAGGCTAGCAGTAGGATAATTTTTGAGTCTACAAAGAAAAGAAGGATGTCGTACTATCCCGGGTTAACAAGCCAGCTTCTCATAAGATAGGAACTCTATACTTTGGAAAGGAAAATAATTGGTATTTGCAGTTTCCCATTAATGTAAATTTCTGTTCCTCCTTTCTTGACAGGTCAGCATATGTTTTGTGCCCCATTCTTTATCACAAAAAAAGAGAAGAAATATTGCAGTGAATGAAGATTCCTCTGCATTTTAGCACTGCTTTTTCTACTGTAGCTGGCTTTTGAATGAGGATGACAATGGAAGAGATGAAGAATGAAGCTGAGACCACTTCTATGGTTTCTATGCCCCTCTATGCAGTCATGTATCCTGTGTTTAATGAGGTAAGTTTGTAAATACTTACAAGCTCTACATTCCCTAATGTCTGCTTCACTTATGTTTGTTCTTTCATATACAAATACTTGTATGAAATGAACTCTGTGTTAGGCATTGTGTCAACATACATGACTGGGAAAAAAACCAATCAGACAAGGCATCCCTCTCTGTAGATTAAACAGTACTGAGACAGGTAGATATTGAATAAATGAACACAATTATATAAATTAAAAATTGTTGTAAGGGCTATCAAGTAAAAAAAAAAAATCATTAAGAAAGAAAATGGCAGATAGTCTCCATTTTAGGGGTCAGCACAGTTCTCACCAAAAAAGACATGAATCCAAGGACTGAAAGAGGTAAATAGAGTTGCATTCTGGGTAGTCAGGTAGCTGGCACAACAGTCATAGTAATGTTTTGTTAGTAGTGACAAAGCACTTTTTAAAAATTGGTATTTGGAAGGTGCCATTACATCATATATAAAGAAGACATGGTTACTTTTTTTCTTTTTCTTTTTCTTTTTTTTGTGGGACTGGGGTTTGAACTCAGGGCTTTGCACTTGTAAAGCAGGTGTTCTACCACTTAAGCCACATGGTTGTGTCTTACTGGAGGAATTGTCTTGGACTTTACTTAAGTACATTTTTGGGTTTTCTTTTAATTTAATGTGCGAATGTATATAGACAATTCAAGAGGGTGAAGTCCCTTAGAGATTAATCAGTTCTCTCTTTCTCATGGTGATAGAGGCCCTGAACTGCAAAATTACTTTTCTAAAATCTTCTAGGACTAAAATCAAATTTAGGTATTCTGAGTCTGAATTCAGTGACGTTAAGCCTTTTTTTTTTAAAAGGTACAGTAATTTTTTTTCTAATCTTCATCTAATTATCCTTCAAAACCACTTAACCTTATTGTTGCTATTACAACTGGAATCCCTCACCATTTCTAATGACTTTTTGTAAAATATTTTTATTACAGGAAGATTCAAGTCCAGTTTTGATTTGCATTTGCTATATTTTATGATTTTCAGACTTGAGGGCAGTAAACAAGGACTCATTTATCTTCTTCAACAAGAAGATAACAGATTTAGTTGCCAAATCAGACAAACATTTTGGAATTTCAGGCTGTATCGTATAGTGTTAGGTTCCACCATAAAGGAAACTTCAAAATGGTAGCTTGAATAAATTTTTTTTCTTATTATTATTACATAAAAGATTCTGGAATACAAGGCTGCTAATATTATGAATCAGTATCATTAGAAATTCACGTACTTATGTTCTGCTCTACCATCCATTATCAAGATCACCTCAGCATGCAAGATAGCTTCTGAAGCTCCAGCTGTCATGTCCTAAGTTGTTTGGAAGAGAAAAATGTTGGGCGGGATGTGAAGTCCTCCTTCTAGCAGTAGTGCTTTTGGAAGGCCTTCAAGAGATTTCCACATACATCTCATTTACAAGAACTTGGTCTCATGACCAAACCTAGCTCCTAAAAAGGAATTTAGGAGTTTGATCACTAAGGAGGCATCTTTTGAAAACCTGTCCATGTTATAATCCATCATAGTATTGGGGGCTGTCTCTTAGGGCTGGCTTTGCCCATCTACAGCAGCTATCACCAACATGCCAATAATTCCATCATTTTTTGTTGTGATACTTTACTCATTGTGAGTAGCTATTATTAGAAGAAAGTGGTTCAGTTATGTTTGGTAAATACTTAACTGAATGCCAGCTATTTATTTGCTGAGTACTCTACTAGGGTCTGCAGGTATAGAGACAAAACAGGCAGTATGTGTGTTCCAAAGAGTCTGTTAGGGAACACAGATGTTTAAGCAAGTAAGTTGTTTAATTCTTGTACCAGGAATGAGATAAGGAGAAGTCACTGAAAGCTAGTAAGTAATCTGTGTTGGTAGCATTTTTTTTTTTCCAGATCAGTTCCCATGTTTTTTGCCTAAACCCAGCTTGACCATAATCCTCTTGAATAGCTGGAATTACAGGTTGTACAGCACAGTGCCCCGCTTCATTAGTAACTTCTTGGATACACCAAGAACCATTCCGTCCAGAGTTTTCATATTTCATCTTTTCATGCCTCAACACCTTGACTTGGTGGGCTGTTAGGGAAAGTTATTTTGGAGAATTTTCTGTGCTTAACTGTTATTTTGAATCTTTACCTGAGAGGAAGAAAATTGACATTGCAGAGTTTCAGTTTAACCCTCTAGTTAATGAAAAAACAGAAAAATTTTTGTTCTAGAAATTTAAATTATCTTCCTACATACAAAAAAAATGGCTGTGAAAATCTTGATTTTGCAAAAGAGTTATATAGAATACAGGGTTCTAGAAAATTAACTGTTAGAGAAGTTAACTTGCAAGAAAAAGAAATGGCTATGAACAAACTAGTACAGCTCTTCAATAAATAAAGGTAGTGATTTCTCCAGATAAGATCTGTAAACATACATGGCTTAATGGACCCAGTATCAGAGTACATTGCCAGATGATTCAGTTGGTTTAAGAAGTAATTGTTAGTTAGACGTAAAGTTTGAAACTGATTCAATGAGGCAGGTGAGAGATACTGCAGCAAATTGGCATGATCGTACTCACAATGTGAGTTTTCTGATCTAACATTGTAGTGTTCCATTTTTCTTAAAAAATAGTTTCATGTATTCAAAAACATGTTCAAGGCCTAGGGGTGTGAGTAACTGGTAGAGTGCTAGCCTAACATTTTTAAGGCCCTGAGCTTAATCCTCTCAGCACCACCAAAATAAAAATTCGAAACTGTACAGAGTTTAAGAATAATGATAGCTTCCTCTTGACAGATGAAATGTAGGCTTGATGTAGAAATAGAATAAAATAATTACTGCATGGGAAGTGTTTGGTAAAAAAGTGTTTTATTCAGTAAAGTTAGCATTATTCTCTGGCATTCCAGTGTGTTACCGGATGAATTAGACATTGATTTTATCTGTAGTTTAACTGGGAATATACCTATACGTCTACTGATGGAGAAATTATAGGTGAGTTTGGTTTTTGATTCTGTTCTTCTGTACCGTACTGATTTAAATACAAAAATGGTTGTCCAGGAAATGGTATCACAGTAGGGATGAATATTTTACGCTGAAGCTTAAATAATTCACTAAATCTTATTCACAGTGTATCATTAGGAGTTTAAAAGTTTACTTATTTTTACCTTAACATTTGATCCATAATAGCTACAATGATATTCTAGGAAATCATCTTGTAGAAGACTTTTATCCAGTGACATCCTTACACATGGGGAAATACTGGTGTATTTATGGCATTCTGGGAGCCTGAAGCTCACTAGTCTCAATAAAGCTACTCCAAGGCAGCTGAGAAGGATTGTGCTTGTTTAATCAGCTGCTGCTGAGTTCAGAGTCCAAGTAGATTGCATGTGTTATAAATGTACTGTGAATTAGGCCTTCTTGTTACATAATGTAATAATTGGTTTCTAGGAATCTCATGCCAAGTCTTAGATTAGGTTCTCATATAATTATTATTTCTTACTGATTCTTTATATATGGAGAAGGAGATAGATACGGTTCATTACTTCATTCCAGGAAAAATAAGCCACGTGTAGAGGCATCATTTTAAGATGAAATATAATTTCTGAAGCAGTATATGTCCTGCTTTATGAAATAAACTATTTTGCAACTAAATATAAATTTCAGATTATCAAATATCTTGTGTATTACTCAATCACACAGAAGCATCTGAGTCAGTTATTTTCTGTGAAATTGGTATAAGTAATACTGTACTTTATTCTCATGACAAACTTGTGAAGTAAACAAATTAATGTACTGTATTGTATTTAGAGTAGTACCAGGCATAATCTTCCACATATATTTTCTGACAAAAATTTTGGTCAGACATTAGAGTTTTGTATTCTTGCCAGCAACGTTTTAGTGAAATATTCTTATACTACTTAAATGCCCTTTTCTGCCATTTAGCTTGGCAACCTCAGGAACTAAAAAAAAAATTTTTTTAGAAGTATTTATAGAATGTACTATGTTCCAAACATAGCCGATTGCATTTGGTTTCTTTCTGGCTGCTCAGAAGCTAATAGGGGACTTTTTGATTCCATCTGCTTCTGTTCTTCTGGCATGCTTATTTTCAACCAGACTTACTTCATTCCCATTTTAATTGTAAAAGATGTACCTGGAGTTTTTATTCTGGTGACTGTAGCTTAGCTTAATTTTTAAGAAATAGGATCAATAATTTTGGAGGAGGAGGTATAGGGAGGAGTCTCCCCAATGGGAAAATCTGATCATAGTTGATTTTGAGGAAGCAAGTAGATTTATAGGCAATTCAGAACCAATTAATCTAATTATTTTAACCTTTAAAAAACAGCTTTCACGGGGTTTTATGCAAGACTCTTGAAAACATTAGCAACCAAAGGGCTAATTGCTTTTTTTTTTCAATTATGGGCTTAGGAAGCTAGCTTGATGCTAGAAGAATGTGAGAATGAATTTACACTTCTAGAGGGAGAAATATAATATATCTGAGATCTCTGGAATAGCAAGTATAGGTAAGCTTTTAAAATATTTCATAAATGAATCAAAGTGCAGTCATGAAAGTAAGTGCTCACAAAAGCTGTCCAAAGTATGTTGCAGAGGAGCTCATAAAACAGAGAGTAGCAGAATGTGGATTTAAGGTGAGGCCTAATGTTGAGTCCTTAGTATATCCATCCCCTCAAATGTGTTTCTGCAATACTTTTCCTTCTCATTTAGGTGAGATGAGATGTTGTGTACCCTTTTTTCTTGTTATGACTTAGTTATTTTCTGTCACTCTTTCACTGGTGAAATAAAAGTCCTGTACAACTGAGGCCCAAGTAGTGCCTTTCTTATTCTGGTATCCATTAATGCAAGATGCAGTTGTAATGTTCTTCCTCCATTAGACCCTAAATTAGTACTATGACTTCTAATAACCCAGTAGTTTTTATTCTTTAAGTCAGGGTTCTTTAAAGATACTCTAGCCAGATACTGCTTTTCTAACATTTTACAAAGTACTGGACTCAGTGAAAGTATTGGAAGCAGAATGGAAATTTTTATCTTTTCTACACTTAGAATCATTATGTCCTCATGTTACCAACCCTGAAAAAACTCCTAAATGGCAGAATTTAAGAAAGATGATTTTAAGAGGACAGGTCACTTGAAAAATTCGTTCAAATACCATCTTGTAGACTTTCCTTTTGACTTCAGTTGATGATGATCACATCACTTTTCATATATCTACTTACTTAAATTGATCTTCTGGAGGTAAAGTACTGTAGTCTTATTTCTTTATGTCTCTTAATGTTGACTCCTTGTGCAACAACCAACAATTTAAGAGATGCAATGATGGCATAAGCTCGAGACTAGAAAGAGTGAGCATGTGGAATCAGGGTAGCTGTACTGGCTTGTATGCAGGCTTGCAGGCCATACAGATCTGGTGTGAATTCTATTTATGTACTTACTGTTTGTTATTGGTCACATTTACACAAAGTGAATTTCTTCCTCTGTAAAATGAATATGATGATAGCTAGTTACAGATTTCTTATAAGCACAGTAGAGTTATTCCACTTATACTCATTATAAGTCTATAACATGTTCTCAGTAAATAGTAGCTGTTACTAGAATTTTATCAAAAACCTGCTGTTGCCAAGAGAGGGACTGATAAATGAACATAGTTTTGTTTTTAACAAGTAAGAGGCCTAAAAGAGAAGTGCTTTTATGATGTGTATAAAAAATCTTGCTACCTAAGTAGTACAGGCTGTTTTCGAGTTTTAAGAACAATTTAGATAAATTTATTGATGAGAGATTAACTGTAGTTCAAATGTAGGTCTGCGCCTGTGTGCTTGGTACTGGCCTTGTATAATGTGGAGCCTTATGAGGAAGAAAGCCTGTTGAGGTTAATAGCAAGACATGTGGGTGTACAGCACACCCCAAAATAACTCCAAGCAGAGCTCTGCTGAGGAGCTTCAGAGCTCACATACTTTTGATTTAGTAAAATATTTCTAACCTGTGACGATCCTTCCTTTGTAAATTTAATCTAGAGATGCTTATGTCAATCTTAGGTAATTTTAGTAGCTCCCCACTGGCTTTTCTGCATTGACTCTTCCACATACCAGTCATGGTGATACAGGATAAGTTACTAATGCTGCCACCTGAAGACACAGTCTGACTCAGACCTTGGACACACCAAAAGAGGTCATTGTGGTGTGACCCCAATCAGGGTAGAAACATTCATCTTGTCTATGCCCTGACCTCTCTTGCTCAACTTTAGATCTATGAGTTGTATTATTGTTTAATCTCAATTAGTATTCATTATAATTACATTAATTATGTGGAAGTACAACCCATTTCCATTGTGGGAAAAATACCTTTGTTAACTACTTATGGTTAATTATTTCCCTTATTTCCTTACTGAATTCCTCTGCTTTCTCTTTTACTTATGAGACAATGTTACATTTTAACAGGCTTTATAAAACCCAAGTTAAATGCTAAGAACACTGGTTCATTAGTTGAGGGGGAGATAAGTTGTTTGGTTTGGCATATTTTGTTGCTTTTGTTTTGTGCTTAAGGTTAATAATTTGTAGAAAGATAGAATTCTTGCCATTTCTGCCTTGTTTACAAAATAAGTTAAAGCATTGGTGGGTTCCTAGATGTATATCTAGTAATAGAACATTTATAAACAAAACTTACATTTTCATTACCCAAGGGATTGAAAGTACTATAATGTGTATGTTCATAAAGTTTTTGTAGAAATGTTCACTTGCATAAAAATCTGTAAAGGTTACATTATCTTCTATCATTTAATATTATCTCAAATAAAAAATATATTCAGTTGAGTTTTATTGACTTAGCTAGTTCAATCATTAGGGAATGAAGAAATCTGAGTTTAACTGAAACTAGTCATTTTAAGTTTGGCAGTTAACTCTTCAACAAATGGAGTTATTTTTGTGAAATTCTATGCTTTTTTTGGTTTGCTGAAAAATGGATTAAGTATAAAAGAAGGATATTTACCCTTTGAAATGATAAACGCCACATATTTGACATAAAAATTACAAGTATTTGGATTAAACTTTTCATTTACTACCTTAGATAATAATTTCTTAATATTGATGCAGTAGAAGACAGATACAAGTATCTCTGAATTCTAGATGGTCTGAACTTCAATTTGAGTATAATACCTTTTATCAGTAGTATGTGATAATTGATAAACTAATCTCAGTTTAATCCTTGGCCAAGGAGTTGAAGATAATTAAAAAGAAGTAAGGTGAGAGAGAGAACCTAAATAAATGTTCTCCTTATATCAGTCACTTGATATTCATTACATACATAAACACACTTGCTATGTATTTGCCTAACAAATCCAGTTGAGGCCACAGAGCATTGAGAGTTTAACCATAAACCTCCCTATTTACAGTAACTCAAGTAAATAACTTTGTTTATTTCTATAAGGACTTATGGTATTGTTATTTTGCATTCTGTACTTAAATCTAGTTTTAAGGTAGCATGCATATCATTCTTTTAATGCACGAAGAACTAAAAACATAATTTGCCAGGGTTTCTACTGAAAATTTTAGGTAGCCTATTGAAAGAATTAGGGTGATTTGTAATCATTAAGTATTTTTGCTTGTTGAATGATAGATGTATCTGTGAGTACTAGAGAATAGAGCATCAGAACTGTGCTGTTTTTCAGGAAAAAAGAAAACTGATATTAATGTGATTTAAAATTTTTCTTGTAGCTAGAACGAGTAAATTTGTCTGCAGCTCAGACACTGAGAGCCGCCTTCATTAAGGTGAGGTACAAATAATTTTATATATTGAAAGTGTGTATTATATATAAATGTTATATGTAAATCTAAAAGCCTCATAATGGTTGCCAGTTTTATTTTCTTTTAGTGAAAAACTTTTTGGGCATTTAAACCTGTACTAGTCTGGTACACTCTGTATATGTTTAAAACAGTTTCTAAAAGGTGAGGTGCAACAAATAGTGTTTTCTTACCATGCATCTTTACATCACTTTGTAACATTGAAACTGACTTCTTCACCGCACAGTGTTTTCTCTTGCACTTTAGAGTATATTTTTAAATTATTTTTTCTATTACTTGTTAAAACTCATTTGTAAAATTGTAATTTGTAAAATTTGCAAATTTGTAATTGTATATTGTTTAATTATAGAACATAAATATACCTCCATATAAAATAGGTTAAGGTTACTTTGGAAATACTCAGTTTAACCACTCAAAATTAATTTCTTCATTGTTTCCAGATCTGGGCTGTTCAATTTAAACACTTAAAAATATGACTTGTTCAAATTGAGATGTTTTCCAAGTACAAAATATACACACATTTTGGTGACGTACAAGAAAAAGAATATAAAATATCCTAGTACTTAGCATTGTATATCGATTACAAATACAATGACATACATTTTGGATGTATTGTTAAAATAATTTCACCTGTTTCTTTTTGTGTTTTTAAATGTGGCCATTAGAAAACTTAGAATTATATAGGTGGTTCATGTTTGTTAAATTAATTCTTTTTGACAGCTGTACTCTAGAGACTAGATATATATATATATATATATATATATATATATATATATATATATATATACACACACACATATATCAAGGTACCCAAGACTGATTGTTTATTCACACATTTGTTCCCATTAACAGCTAAAATAACTTTGTTTTTCAGGTAAAATATTTTAATGCTTAAGTGTGAAATAAATTATAGTTACGTTTTAGTAGATAATGTCTTCAGTGACTTTCATAAAATAGGTAAAATAAAGAATTGCATCAGCAGGAACTAGTGAAAAGGTCAGTAAGAGATTAATTAGCTTGGGATGTAACACATTTGTACATGAAAGCAATGCTACGAATCTCTCTATATCTATCCTTATCTCAACTAGCAAAAATGCTTTGTCTCTTATTATTGCTTTTGTTTTCTCTCCAACAAAATTAGAGATAAGGGCAGAACAGATTCTGCCTGGAAGCGAGAGGGGTGGGGAGTTGAGGGAAGCAATGATCCAAACAATGTATGCACATATGAATAAACGAATATTAAAAAAAAAAAAGAGTGGCCCATAATAACAACTATGTACTTTAGGTGATTATGTAGTCACATAGGTTCATCAATTGGAACACGTATGTACCATTCTGATGCAGGATGTTAATAATGGGGCAGTACGCATGTGTAGGGACAGAATACACATGGTAAATTTCTATCTTCCTCTCGATTTTGCTATGAACCTAAAAAATAAAGCCTATTGTAAAAATCTAAAAAAAAAGAATTGCACCAGGCTTTATTGTAACATTGTAATATAGCTGATGATTTAACAGGGAAGTGTAATTGCATAACTAAGGTAGATCTGGTTGATCCATAGATAAATTTTATTTTCCTTAACACTTGTTTTTGACTTTTTGTTTGTTTGGCGTTTTTCTTGTCATTATTTTTGAGATGAGATCTGACTGAAGTTGCCATGGCTGGCCTCAAGTGATACTTCTGCCTCATCATCTTAAGTAGCAGAACTACAGTTGTGCATCATTGTGGCCAGCTCGTAGTATTGCTTTTTTTTAAATTGAGAGTACTGAAAATTATTTTGAGAGAAAATAAATTAGACAATATTGCACTGATTTGTTTTTAACTATCACATTTAGTTTTTTAAATTTTAAGTGAAATTAAGGGAGGGCATGTGTAGTGCTTTTTTCCTCTGGCAATACTGGGTTTAAATTCATGGCTTTGTGCTTGCAAACAGGCAGGCACTCTCCTGCTTGATCCATAGCTCTAGCCCTTTTTCTCTGGTTATTTTGAAGATAGGTTCTTTGTTTGTTTTTTTCCCCCTATGCTGACCTGGACCAACTTCCTGCTGTGACTGGGAGGACAGGTATGCGCCACTGTGCCAACCTATTGGTTGAGATGGAGTCTTGTGAACTGTTTGTCCCTGCTGGCCTGGAACTGCAATCCTCTCATTCCCAAATAGCTTGGATTACAGGTGTGAGCCTCCACTGCCCAGCTTGATTTTTGTGCTTTTCTGACTCTTGAAAAAGATGAAAAACATCTTACCCAGCCAGTCTTTTATATCCAGTTTGCAATTCTTGGTTATAACAATGATTTTTATTTCCTATCTATTTTTATTTGGAGAAAAAAAGATTATTTTTGCCCCTCCCCTCAAAAAAATGCCATGGCATATTATCTTTTAAGGTACATGTCTGACCTGATTACCTATTACTCTGTTCTCTGGGAGCTTCTGATAGATTCTTCTGTCTCCCGGGTTAAGAATCACTGGTCCACAAGAGTGTATGTCTTTTACCTTTAGGGTATTTTTCTTTCACACTAGATTTACAAAGATAGAACACCCACAGAATTTAGCGTTGAAAACTGAGGAAAAAATAAGATGTAGCTTAACTAGGACTTTTGCCAGAAGACATTAAGACTATTATTCCCAAACCATGTGCCCAGTCATCCTGGAACCCCACAGCAAACTTCAAGGAGTGGCATGAAATCTTTAAAAAAAAAAATTTAAGGCAAACAGTGATATTGAACATCTGTTTGGTACTACATGAACTTATCTTGAAGTACTTTTCAATTTCAATACACTAAATTGGCCTGTGTTCTTCTAAGTGATGTCATATCTTTGTGAAACTAGATTATTGGTCCATGCTGTGACAAAAAGCAGGTACCATAAGAAAGTCAGTGTACAAGAGGAAATGAGGGTGGCAAGTCCAATCTAAGTCCAACTTTTGAGAAATTGTGCAATGCACTATGGGTGCAAACATGTTATTAACTATTGGTAAGCCATTGTTAAGGATCACATAAAATACTTTTCTTCAATTATATGTTCAGTACTTTTTAAGGTTAGTATATTGTTAGGACATACTACTTATTTGTACCTAATTGTTTAATAAATAGTTTTCACTATTAGGTATTTCTTTTGGAACTTTGAACTGAGAAAGGTAGGAATGACTTCACTTTTTAATGCTCCTGTTTTGACATTTGAGGTCCCAGGGTTCATATTGGACACTTTGTTTTCAGACATAGAGCAGTTAATTCCTTCAGCACCTTAGTAGTATTTAATTACATCTTTTTCTGCTGACATTTCCTGCAAATACATAAAGAATACTCTCCTAACCCCAAGGTAATTCATTATGTAGGTAGATTTGATGCTACTTAGAGAAAGAAGACAAGCCACTTACCAAATACAGCATTAAGTGTAATTTTTGATAGTTCACCAAATTGACACATAACAGCACATTAAACCATTATTTGGACTTTTCTTTTGTAAAGTAATTTTTTTTAAGTAGATTCGATCTTAAATATATCCATGAAAGTAAAAGTAGCAGTAGACTATAAAGGAAATGGAATTCAGCCAAATGTACTCCATTGTTATTAATCATCTAGCGAAACGATTTCTATGACCAGCATTTGACATCAGTAAAAGTGATCCTGGGATTGAGGTAAATGTGTATATTTTCTTTTCCCATTTCATGTACAGCCTTTCAGTTTTTGATAATTGAGATCTAGTAAAAAACAAGATGTTTTTATAGAAAGAGCAATAGCAGAAGGCAGCTAAAACTGCAGTGACATCAGAGTGGAGTTAAAAAGGCAGAGACTAAGTGTGCTTGATACATGGAAGCAAAAAAGACTACCTTCTGATTAGGGTCATGAATTGCATTTCTGTTTGCTATTTAATAGTAAGGCAAAAACGAAAGGAAATCATCAGCAGAAGGATTTAAATTGTCAGGCATTCTAAAAGAAATAAACGTTGAATACAATTCCAGTTTTTTAAAGAAATATCGAAATGAGTTAAAATTACTAGAGAAAAACTGAAATCTGAAAATAAAATTTGTTAATCTCAGAACCCTTTATATGCAGTCTTAGGGCCCTGAGGATGCCAAGTAACAGAACCTATTGCAATTCATTAGTGAAACAAGCTCAGAAGGCTGTAAAAAGATTAATGATGTTATGAAAACTTGTGAAGGATGCATTCTTGCTACAAATAAAAATAGGAAATGAAAGTCATTATATGGGAAAGTTGTTAGGGATTGTATGGCATCAGTAAAACCTGTAAAAGAAATCCTAGTTTATTTTTTTATTTCCTTGGCTTTTGTTAATTTAAATGCAACAAATCTATAAAATATTGATGAGATGAGTTACTGCTTGATCTTTAAGTTGAAATGTTAACTAAATTACAGGTCCTTGATCTAATAGATATGAGTATATGCTGTATATAAAATCTTTCTGTCTGTATTAGTTTGGTTTCAAAAGAATAATAAAGTAGGAAACATCAAGTACTTTATGGTCAAATTGGAAATGGACTAATGAACATAGTGAAAAGTAACTAATGCACAAGGTATAACAAAAAACAAGTGAATGCCATCATGACACTTGCTTTCACAAAAATTTCTATCCTTTTAAGTGATCCATCTATGACATTAAATAAATTCGCAACAGTTAAGATTTGGTTTTAAATGCTGATCCAATTCTGTATTTAAAAACAAGCATTCTTTGTCTTATAGGCTGAAAAAGAAAATCCAGGTCTCACACAAGATATCATTGTGAAGATTTTAGAGAAAAAAAGTGTAGAAGTTAATTTCACGGAGTCCCTTCTTCGTATGGCAGCTGATGATGTAGAAGGTATCAAAAAGAAGATCCTTGTTTGGCTTTAAAATTGTTGAAAAAGCACTTCCTTCAAATCTTTATCATTTGAGAAGTCTTCCTTTCCTCCCCTCTTTCCCATTCCTTCACTCTTACTGTGATCATAGTGGGAACAATCTGTATAAAATAGAAAAGTAGTTAACTTTTTATATTTTTCAGATTTAATTGTGTAAAACGATTATTAATGCTACATGATTTAATTTTTCCCCATTAATAAAATATTTGTAACGTTTCAGTTTCACTAAAAGATAAGTTTTTCTGTGGGATAATTCCTTTATTTTGTGTTGAGTTTGAAAAACATGAGCTTTAAATTATGGCACAGTATTCAAAAACAGATTTGGGAAGGCAGTATAGCAACTATTCCAACCATTCTTTTTTTTTTCCCCTTTTTAATAAAATAGAAATGAATTTCACTTAAAATTAATAGTCAGTTTCCTGATAACTTAGAAAAATGTAGAAGTCTGATTTTCTATTTAATTATTTAAAGAGAGAAGGGAAAAAGTAAGCATTTCAGCTCATTCTATGACTTACAAGAAACATCTCACTATTTTTTAGACTTGCAGTTGCAGCCTGTTAGGCCATAATATATTGACTTGGTAGAGTTGGAGTGCTTCTTACTCTGTAGTGAACTTGGTGGTAAGCTTATTTTGTCACTGCCAAGTGTGATTGATCCTCCTTTTAAAATAGTTGTTTTGTCGTTCCAGCCCTTGTGTTGGGTTTGTGGTGATGTTTGTATTTCTAAGTGAGATTTCAAGAATGTGCTGGAAATGTTAGTAGGTTTTTGGGATTTTGATATAGTCAACCATACTGTATTCAATAAAAATATTTTTAGTTATTAAACTCACTTTTCTCATTGGAAGATGTATATTGCCTTTGCATTATTTATGAATTTATTTATGGTTTCCTTGTGAAATAGGACTGATGATGTGCTTGATTAAGCCTATTCCCTTTTTAATTAATTTATTCATTTAAGTTTTTATTAGGTATTTCTATTTACTCCAAATTGAAAATGTTTCATTTTTGTCCGCTAGCATTTTGCTTGGGAGGAACCCTAATGTTAATATGGGACTAAGTTGAACTCTAATAAAGTTTTTCTATGCAGCCTTGTCTTTTCTAATTCTTTCTTCTCCCTTAATCTCTTTGACAACTTTGGGAATTCTTAGGCTTGAATTTGTCAGGGAGTTACATGACTTTTTATTATGCATTTGTTTCATCAGAGTATATGATTGAACGACCAGAGCCAGAATTCCAGGACCTAAATGAAAAGGCACGAGCACTTAAACATATTCTCAGTAAGATCCCAGATGAGATCAATGACAGAGTGAGGTTTCTACAGACAATCAAGTAAGTCATTTTTTTGTTATTGTTTTATTTTGGTTCTTTTTTAAAAGCTCTTAAGAGGAATCATTCATACTGGATGTTTCTACTTTGGTATGACATATTAGCTAAAATATTAATTTGCAATAAAATTGGATAATTTTTGATGCTACATTTTTAATAACTTAAGCAGTGACTTCAGAGTACAATACTTTTGTGTTTAATGTTTAAAATAACAATGAAATGCACATAAACTAAAAATTAATTTGAATTGCATAAATAATGGAAAAAACATAAATGTCATATTAAAAGGAATAAAGTAAATTAAAGATTGGTAGTAAGAGATAACAAAATTGTTTTTATTTCACCAGTATTGTAAATTAGGTAAGTAATGTACTCATGTGAGTAACATGTTCTATTATTGACCAAACTGAACCTTTAAATCCTTGCTTTTGGAAAACAGTTTAAATAAGATGCAGAATACGCATGGGTAGGAGGCTGTCAGGTAATTAGTTCTAGAGCAGTGGTGCTCTGACCTGTGTACTCTCCAGGGGTACAGTGATGGGTTAAGTAGTAAGGGGAAAATTCCAAACATAGTTCCTACATAAGTATATTTAAACTGATAAGTTTAAAATTTAAAGATAAGTCTGATAACTTTCTTCAGCCTCAGTAAATTGAAAACAAAACAAGCTGGGAAAAATTACAATGTCCCTAGTCAATGAATTGTTTTGGTGAAACCATAGCTAGAAATTGCTGAAAAGGGAAGATTTAGTTCATGTCTTTTTTTCTGAAAGAGAATTACGAATCTGAGTAGACTTGCTTGGAATCAATAATAACTTTCAGAAATACCTTGTAATTCATATTCCAAAATGCTGTATTAGCTAGTTTGGACACCTATTTTGAATGCTAAAGAGGCAAGAATATGTCTGACTCTAGAAAAACAGTTGTTTTTGGCAGATTTCCAGTTACGAATGAATGACTTCCCTCTTTGGCAATATTGAGCACCAAGAATATTAAAAAGGCTTTTAATAGCCAAAATCTGTATCACAGGGGACAAACCCTGTGGGTTTTATGTTTTACCTTGATAAGAAAGCTCAAACTTCCTTTAACTATTTTCATTATGTGAAGTTATGTGAAGAGAGAAGATAGTCATCTGTTTATGAAGTTTTATTTTTAATTTGATATAATTGAAGTAAATGTGTGTGAGTGATAGTTATATATTTGTTCTTTGTTAGTAAGTCATGCTATATTTCTATGAAGAAATACTCAAAATAGTATGTTTAGCAGATTTTGATTCTGATCATTGAAGTCAAGTTTATATAATGTGTTGATCTGATCTGGCTATTGGAAATAATTTCTGCTGTTTGAAAGAAGTGTGTTAGAGGACTAGGATTGATGAGTTGTTCAGTTATGTTCTTTAGAAAGAATCAGTACTTGGAGAGTCTGTCTCCACAAGCCAGTCCTAAATTTAATCAAAGAGGTGAAAGAGCTCTACAATGAAAATTATCTAACAAGATGAAAGAAATGGAAAAAGACAGTTGTAGACATGAAGATGCAGAGACCTAATCCTATTACACTCTTTCACCCTAAGGAGACCCTAAGGCATCTCTGCTAAACCCTCTGTGACTTCAAGGAGATATAAAACTACATCACTAACAGCCAAATTTTAGTCATAAGGAAGTTAAGCTCAACCATTTAAGAATATCGTCCATAATTTTTGACAGAGACTTGATTAGGTTAGGAAATTTATCATTTAGAGAGGAATAGTAATATTTCAGTTTTGTTTTCAGGATTTTATGTAGAACAACTAAACTAAAAGTAATGGCAGTGGAAATTTATTTCTTGACTGTTTTAGGAGGGATAATTTTCCCTGGTAAGCTTTTATATGTATAGATTATTTCTGAGACTAAAGTTCAAACATACATAAATAACACATATGGCTCAGGTGGTATTTTATCACTGTGATATATACTGGTACATTGTGACACATGCTACTACTATTAATTGATTGACAAATTAGTGTATAAAATTGTACCAGAATAGAAAATGGTTTGTCTTCATGTACAACATACTGTGCAATGATTGTTTTTTTCTTTAAAATAACTTATGTTTTTTATATTTAAGGTAATTATTCTCCTCATCCATTTATTTTAGCATGAAGCATGTATCAAAGACCTATTATATCAGTATTACAGCTGACACTATAGGGTACCTTCAGCAGTGAAAACATTCCTGACAGTAGTGCATAGGCATTTTTGAATATATTAGCAGACTCAAGTTTGACTCTCCATTCCAACATTTAGATGTGACCTTAGTTATAAGTTGATTAGCTTCTGCCATTCTAGCTTCTACCTCTAGAAATGCCAAACAGCAGCAGTTTCTAAATGTGACTGTCAACACTAATCATCTGGGGAGAGTTTTGTTCCTGCCCTTCTCCCTTTTAAAAGTACAGACAGGTTCTTTTTTTTTTTAACTGATACACAAAAACATGAAAGGATATTTTAATGGAGTGCCCATGTTGTGTTTGATGCAGGTATACATTGTATATTTAAAGCAAGTTAAAACATTTATCTCCTGGTGCATAATTGTGATCTTAGACCCTATAAATACTGTGTTATTATAGTCTTTACTGATACACAGTAGACTGTTGGTAATGGGTACATGACTCCAAGGAGACCACCTTTGAGGAAAAACCACGAATGCCGAGATGCTCAGTGCTGTGTTGCAGATAGATGCTTGGTTCATTTTCCCGTGATGTTATTCAACCGCTGCTCAAAACATGTCACCTTTCAGCAAATCTAAATTTTTTACTTTATTGCTTAAATTAAGCATGATAATTTTGGGGATACTATTTGCTTTTTGGAGGCAGATTTTTGCAAAATCAAAAGCAGGGAAACACTTAGCAAGATCACACAATGATTAAAACACAACTGAAGATAACGCAGGACTGACAGAGAAGCTTCTCTGCATCATTGAGCAGTGTGATGTACATGTATGAATTTCAAGATTTTGTTCCTGAAATTTCTTTTGCCTTTTAACTATTGGGTAAAATTTCTTTTGACTTTTTTTAATCACTTTTTTTATGCTACTTGGTCAGAACTGTATAATAAATCTGCAGATAAGGTGGACTTTCTGTAGATTGCAGAGCTTCTTACTCCTATATAACTATATCTTAATACCACTGATCAAATTTTCCCTGTCCCTAGCCTTTGATAACCACTCTACTTTTATAAGAACTATTTTCTTTAGATTCCACATAAGAATGTAATTATACAATATTTGGTTTTTTTTGTGGCTGTCTTATTTTACTTAGCATAATAATCTCCAATTCTATTCATTTTGTCTCAGATGACAAGATTTCATTTTTATGGCTGAATACTACTGCATTGTGTATATAAGTAAATGGACATGGCTTGTTTCCATTTTTTGGCTCTTGTGAATAGTTGAATTTTTAATTTTTTGAGAAACCTCCATACTGTTTTCCATGCGGCTATACTAATTTACATTTCTACTAATGGTGTGTGAGGTTTTCTTTTTCTCTGTATTCTTACCAACACTTGTTATCTTTAGTCTTTTTGATAATAGTCATTCTTATTGGGATGAGGTTGTAGCTCTGTGGTTTCGATTTGTATTTCTCTGATGATTAGTGATGTTGAGCATTTTTTCATATGCCTGTTGGTCATTTGTGTGTCTTATGAACAATATCTATTTAGGTTTCTTGCATTTGTTCTTTTGCTATAGCTTATATCCTTTAGATTTCTGTTCCTTATCAGATGTATTGTCTGCAAATACTTTCTCCTATTTTGCAGGTTGTCTCTGCAATCTGTTGATTTTTCTTTGCAGTATGAAGGGTTTTTGGCTTTATGTAATGCCCCCTTTTTTGCATTTGCTTCCTGTGCTTTGGAGATTTTGTCCAAAAAAATCATTGCCTATCCCAGTGTCCTGAAGTATTTCACCTTTGTTTTCTTTTCCAAGTCTTCCATTGAAGTCTTTAATCCCTTTTCAGTTGATCTTTATAACTAGCAAGAGATAGAGATCTAGCTTAGCTCTTCTGCATGTGAATTTTCAACTTTCCCAATACGACTTACTGAAAAGACTGTCCTTTCTCCACTGTATGTTCTTAGCACCTTTGTCAAAAATCTGCTGAAGATTCATGGATTTACTTCTAGGCTGCCTGTTCTGTTCCATTGGTCAACGTGTCTGTTTTATACCAATACCATGCTATTTTGATTATTACGCCTTTGTAGTATGTTTTGAAGTAAGGTAGCATGATACCTTCTGCATCGATATATATATATTTTTTAATGCTCAAAATGGCTTTGGGTATTCAGAGTCTTTTTGTGATCCCATATGAATTTTTAAATTTTTTTTCTAGTTCTGTGAAGAATGCCATTGGTATTGTTTTGGTAGGGATTACCTTGAATCTATAGATTGCTTTGGATAGTATGGACATTTTAACAATATTGATTCTTGTCCATGAACACAAAGTGTCTCTACTTTTTTGTGTCTTCTGTTTCTTTCATCTTGTTTTATAATTTTCATTGTAGAGCTCTTTCACTTCTGATTAAATTTATTCCTAAAGAACAAATGAGATTTTTTTTAAATGACTTTTCCAACTTGCATGCCTTGTTTCTTTTTCTTGCCTAATTGCTCTGGCTAGGACTTCCAGCATTATGTTGAATAAAAGTGAAATTGCTCATTTTGTCTCATCTTTGTCATCTAGATTTTGGAGAAAATCTTTCCACTTTACCCCATTCAGTATAGTGTTATCTGTTGGCTTATTACAGTGGCCTTTATTATGATGTTTTCCTTGCATGGCCTATTTTCCTGCATTTTTATCATGAAGGGTTGTTGAATATTATGTCTTTTCTATGTTATTTAAGATGACCATATGTTTTTTATCCTTCATTCTGCTGATATTGTGCATCGTACTTACTGATTTGCCTATATTGAACCATCCTTTCATCCCTTGAATGAATCCCACTTGATCATGGTGAATAATCTTTTGATATGCTGTTGGATTATGT